ATTAATGCTGTTCTCCCTCAACACGGAGGGTGCAAATGGTTGAGCATCTAGCTTGAGCAGCAGATCCGCAGGTACCTGAAGCTGTTGATTCATCTGACCCTGATTAGCTTGCTGGGCTCTTACTTGTTGTTGCATCCTTTGATTATTCTGCCATGCTTGCATTTGTTGTGGGTTGAGTCCTTGAGGCATGTTCGGCATCTGGATCTGCTGTTGCGGCTGAAGAGGATTATTCGGTATGAATTGACCAGGCTGTTGACCAGGCTGCACTTGTTGCTGATTATTGAAATTGCCTTGATTCCTGAACCTTTCTATTGCGAGTCTGAATTGATCGTCCGTCATAGTCTGAAGATGCTGTCGAACATTGGGAGGAAGGTTTTCAGGGATATCTGGAGGTAATTGGCGAATTGGTCGACCTTGTTGCAGTGCAAGCGCTTGCTGCCGTTGCAGCTGCAGCGCTTGCATAGCTTGAGGATTCAGCTGACCTGCATTGAGGCCTTGAGGACGCTGCTGTGGGGTAGAACCGGCTTGCGGCGGTTGATTCACAGGCTGGGTTAGTAATGGCATGGGGCTGCTTTGAGGCTGCTGCCCCGCCATCCTCTGCATGTTCATTTGCTGGATATTGGCCTGAGCTTGCTGCTGATTCTGCGCATGGGCTGCTTGTTGTATCTGTTGAGCTCGTTGACGAGCCTGCGCATTCAATACCTGCTGTCGTTGATTCATTTGCTGCTGCTGATTTACAAAACCGGGCTGCTGTTGTTGCAACTGTTGCATTTGCTGCATGACGTTTGGAATTTGACCTCGAGCACCTCCTTGCTGAGATTGTGAGAGTCCAATAGGTAGACTGAGTTGCTGATTCCCATTTAGATTATTATGGTCACTCGCTGGCACGACAAGCTGCCCAGACTGCTGTAGCCGCATCGCATCGGCCTGCTGACCAGCAATTTGCGAATAGTCGAATTCTTGACCCGAATTCGATGCACCTTGGTTCATTTGTTGTTGGCTCTGCTGAGCTTGATTTTGCGCCATATTTCCGTTAGGCAGGCCACTAGCATTTTGACCCTGTGGCCGATTATTTCGCTGTTGCAAGAAGAGCGCATGTGCTTGCTGACGCCAGTGTAACATGGTAGGATCACCATTAGTTCGAGCGCGGACCGCCTGTTGTTTCTCTGGAGGCCAAGTATTTACTTGCGCCATGAGCTTTTTCGTCATCTCCTCACTTGCTCGACTTCGCATTTCTTGCGCAATCCGGGCGATTGCCTGCATTTCTAGTGGTGTCTGTTGCTGACCTTGACCGGGATTGGGTTGTTGCTGTTGCTGTTGTTGCGGTTGCGCTCCTTGGGGATTCGAAATCGGGTTTTGAGCAGTCATAGACATGGATGTGGCATTCTGGTTATTGCCTCCGGGTATAGGCGTAGCCTGCATGGGCCGCTGCAAGGCGGAGTTGAATGGCGTATTGAACTGGTTTCCTGCATTCGGCATGTTCTGTTGCATCTGGTTCTGATTCATGTTCATGCCTGCTTGAAAATTCTGCTGATTTCCCATTTGCATTTGATTCTGTGCACGACGTTGGCGAGCATTCATAAAGTCTTGCATTTGCTGATTGAGGTTCATTTCGTATTGTTCCTACAATAGTATGGTTGGCACAGCAATAAACAATAGGACTTGTACAATAAGGCACGACTTACTTTGGTAGGTGAATTTTTATACTGACTTCCCTCAAAGTGAAAACATTGCTTCAGCGCCTCCTCATGCGTGGTGCCGGGTTTAGCCAGCTGGTAGGATGTTATCCTTAAGTGGCTGTTAGTACCAACTTGATCAGAGCGAGTTTAGCAAAAACCTACAGCTCCATCAACCGTCCAATTCGCTGATTTGGCTGTACAGTAGTATGCCATGCTAAGGAAGGTGGTTGACTCGTGAAGAGGCTTGACAGCCGCTGCCTCATAGCAGGATTATTGGCACCTCCCGGCGGCAGTCCTCCTCCTTGTTGTTGCTGCTGCTGCTGCTGCTGCTGTTGTTGCTGCATGCCCTGGTTGGCCATCATGGCCTGCTGCATATTCTGCATAGCTTGCTGATTCATGGCTGGCAGAATCGAGTGTCTCGATAAAACTGACAGGTCAAGTATGTCTGTTCACGGCTCAAAGACCGTTTCGCGGAAGAGTGGACTTGAGCATGCAGGCGGAATTACGTGTTTGAATCTGCAACGGTGCGGTGTATGCAAAGGCAAGTTTGCTATCGGGTGGTGGAGGTGCGAGAAAAGGTGGCTTCGTCGTGAGAGCAATAAGACGCAAAGTGAGTATTTACGGTCGGAATAATGGTAGGATGGTGAATGTTGGGGTCTGAGGCGCAGTGATCTACTCTATGGGTGAGTTCTGTTCAATAAAAGCGCTTAGCTGCGTATATAGGACCAGGGTGAATGGAAATCAGTCGCATACCCAAAGAGTCGGAGAATTAATGAGCAAAAGGAATGGCGAAAGAAACAAATGCAAGGACAGGCCCGAATATTCAGTGAGGGAATAATGAGTCGAAAAGGTTTCGTGGGAGTCGTGGCTCTGCTCTGGGGTAGAAGAGACAAAAGACAAAGGAATGCGGCGGCCTCTGCGCGGCCAACAGCAGTAGCCTGAGTGAGGATTCTCACCGCTCGACTAGCATGAAATATTATTTAACCACCAAATAAAAAGTCCCCAAAGAATGTCACAAGATGACTAGCTAAATGTTCGGGCGGAAAGAAAGCGTATGGGTTGTGTGGTGGGAGAAGTGAGTTGCGTGGTAAAGACGAGGCTCGCGGCCCAACTTTTGATGTGTTGGTCGTTGTTGGTGGAGGAGAAGGCACGGCGTTTATTTAGGCGGGCGAACTGTTTGATGTGGCTGAGCTAGAAAGAACCTTTTGGCCTATTTTCCTTGGGAATAGTATTTGGGCGGTAAAAAGGAACAGTCCACAGTCTGAGAGGGGAAGGAGTCAAACTAGTTGGAGCTGCTGGAAAGAGAGAGTGAGAGAGGGTTAGAGTGTGAGTGAGTGAGGACATCAAAAGGGCAAGGGAACAGAAAGAGGGTGCAGGTGATGGATCATGGACAAGGGTATCTCATTCGTCCCGTCTTAACTTGCCCGTCCACTAGCGGCCATCTCAAGATTTCTCCTCCAAAAGCCTCATGTGGAAAGTCATACTATGGCAGAATCGCTTTTATTGGATGTATGTAATATTGTTCTTCTATTGCCCCGAATAACCACTCTTTATCTTACTCGACCCAACCGCCAGAATACAACCTCACCATTCTTCTTCTCATGAAAGCAGCATCGTCCCATCTCTTCTACACCTCACCATCTCCGACCCAAGAAAGCTGCCACATGCAAAGATGATGCACGTCCCATCTTCGAAACATTTGACTCGCCACTACTCCAACTCTGCAACATCAAACCACAACAGAGAGATTAAATATTCCGAGAGGCCCTATCTCCGGTTCTTCTCCTCCATCTCCTCTTCCAGAAATACTGGCAGGTCTTTGGATATTCATTTTCCATTGTTTATTGGAATCGACATCCTGACACTCGTGTTTTTTGACAGCAGTTTGACCGCTGCATCTAGCGGGACGCCATTTCGCGGCAAAGGCGTTCAGAATCTGCCCTAAAGCGACGGGAGCCATTGGCGCTGGCGCATTTCACCTCCACCCCCAACCCTAAAGGGCGAACGTCCACCTCACCAACATCCGTCACGACTTACTACGCCCTGCTGTAGGGCGAAATTTGGTTCAATGCGCACTGCCACACCACCCTCCAGTGGCATAGATGTTTACCATAATCGCTCACACCTCCCTCTCAATTGCTTTGTCAAATTTCAACAGCATGTAATGCATAAAATACTGGCGAAGACAGCTAGCAAGCTGCATGGTGAAGAACCCCATTACATGCCTGAACCCTGATTCCCGCCCAGCATCATTGGATCCTCCCTCTGCCCCCCCGTCACTGATCAAATTGAAACACTTGTTTGGCGTGTGTGATGTTTTGTACCTGGATTGGCGCAGGGAAACTCCCGATTACGATTCCCACACTCTCTTTTTCTCTTTTCTTCATGCCATTTCGAGAGCTCAAAAATCACCGTAGTACTTAAGACTTCGTACATTAGGCGACTTGGTGTAAAGGGCCCCTGGTTCACGCACTACTTGCATCTTTCAGTGCCCACCAGGAAAAAAGTATCTGCAAGGATGGCGTTGCCCAATTATGTTACACCAACTAGGAAAGGCTGTCCCCCCATCATCCGCATGAACCGCCTAACCCCGCCGGGAGATGTTATTATGCTTTTTGACCTATTGCAGTCTTGCTATTCTCTGCCTGTTATTTCCTTGTTTATATTATATATACTCTCTCCTCTCCTAATAACTGTCATCTCGCAGCCTAAAGCGAAATGAAACTCAGCATATTTAGGACTACTAGCTCTCAACACGAGGAGCAATAGGCAAGAGCTGCTGAAGATCTAGTTTTTCCTGTTCTGTGACACAAGAAGCCGTATTCCATCAGGGCATTCGTACTACCCCATCTTACCACCCTATACCCGTATCCACTTTGAATCTTTTCCTTTTGCGGTGGGATTGACATATCAAGTAACCGTATTCGGGACTATGAAACAAGCGTTGGAAATGAACATGATCAGATGGGGTCAACCGTTAGGCTATTGCAAAGAGATACATCTGAGTCAACTGCACTTGCTCAATGAAGGTGGTAAGCACTTGCTGTTGCCGAAAGCTACTCGCTTGATGGCCTGGGATTGTAAGAGCAGAATCAACTACCAAGTTTTTGAAGTTACACTTGCCATTTTTCCACAGCTAGCGTACTCACTCCCTATAGTTCCAAAATAAACAAATTACTAGCACTGGAGTTCTATCACTTACCGGTCCGAGCCAGTAATTTTCTTCCTCCTTCTAAGTAAGGGAATCTATGCCGCGAAAGCACAAAATGCAAATAAAAGGTTGTCCGAGCACCAAAAGAGCGTTAAAACACCAAAAACAATTGTCCCCGAGCAGGATCGAACTGCTGGCCTTCAGATTGCTCAGCATTGATGAACTGATCATAACCTAGATTATGAGACTGATGTGGTAAACCAACTCCACCACGGAGACCGTTCGGTGCAGGCCAGTAGCTGTGCTTGAGTTTATGTACGGATGAGGAGCTAATTTTGCTGTGACTGAATAGGTAACTTAGAGGTAGAAGAATGAGATGCTGGTAAAAGTGGAAGCTTATCCCGTTCATAACCGAGCCGCGCGGTTGATAGCATCGATGGGAAGAATACTTGTATAATAACGAATATACGACAAGGGAATGATAGACCAAGGAGAAGTAAGTCGAAATGTAGTATAGGTATTTTGTGATTCAATTGTACAATATTTCAATTCTTCTATCTTTCATCCCCTCTTTTAACAGCACAAATGGTAGACTTGGAAGGAGAGAGAAAATTATTTACAGTTGATCACGGAGGAGCTTGTTCATCTTTGCCATCTTGGCGGAAACGCTAAGGTCGATGGTCTGGTCACCAATCTCGACGATGAGACCACCGCGGATATCTGGGTTGACCTGTTGGTATTGTTAGTAACTAGTACTGCGAAAGATCTGGAGAGTGAATCTTTTAGTATACCTTTGGCACAACCTTCAACTTCTTGCCCGAACCAACGTAAGATGACTTGGAGATAGCATTCTCGAGTTGCTTGAGGACTTTCCCATCCAGTTGCTAGACAGAAAACATCGTTAGCCTTCCACACATCATGCAAACATTCTCCCAATGTAGAGCTAGAAGAGAACATACAGCAGCACTCGTAACAATCAACTCCACCTCCCCACGATACGCACTCATCAACCTCCCGAAATTCTCCGTCACCGACTCCAACGTCCCCAACCTATTGTTCTCCGCCAACGTCTCCAAGAAATTCTTGACAATCTTTTCTTTATCCTGACCTCCCGTATGCTTCTCCAACTCGGCAACAATCTGCTTCTTCTCGTCGAGTTTCAGCGTGGGTGCTTGGAGGATCTGGACGAGTTTGGGGTCTTTTTTGAAGACGGCGTGGAGGGATTCCATGGCTTTGGATACGGGTTCTAGAGCGGAGGTTTTGGCTGCGGCGGTGTACTGTTGTATTTTCAAACATATTAGCTGCGATCTCAAGGCTCAATGTTATCTAATTGATCTCCCCAATCAATTTCAAGACATACCAAAGCAGTAGCATAAGTTCCATCGATGCCATACAGCGCAATTGGTGGTTGGCCAGATGGCTGCTGCTGCGAAGAAGTAGCTGGAGAAGCATAGCTTCGGATGGCCGCCCGGGAAGCAATTGACGCGCGAGGAGCGGACGACCGCGCGGTCTGAAGAGCTAGACGACCCGCGAGCATATTTGCAAGACGGGCAGAGGATGGGAGGGTGATGTAGGGTGTTATGGAGGAGCTGTTTTGGAACCTTTGGGTTGATGTGAGCTTTCTGCTGTCGGCTCTTTCTTGAGATTTGATGCCTGATAAATGCCTGATGAATGCCTGAGGCGCGAGGATCTCGGCGACAATTTCCGAAGGGTTCCCCGAGGGTGGAGTTTAACTTCATCCCGTTTCTTTGAACACAATTCAAGTTATGTTATTACCCTTGCCTTGCATTTGCTGTATATTTCACTAACTTGCCCCATTTGAAAGGACGTAACGTCAGCTCCTAGGACCACGCACTGAAATTAGTGCTTGAACCTTTCGACACTTGATCTCAGAGATAGAGCTTCGATTTCTTTTGGCTCATCTCGAAATTCGAGCGATAGCATTTCATTCGGACTCTACCGACTCTTTTCATGTGTTAATCCTACGTCCCTTGCTAGCAGTATGCTGCCTTCCATCACCAGCACAATGAACGCCCAAAGAAACAAGAGACCCCTCAAAACTACCCCAATTTCCTACACAATATCATATACTCAATGCATCCCATAATCGTAATTCGTCCCAAATAGCTTGATCATCATGCGCTTTGTCTTAATTTTGTCTCCTTCTTCTTCTTCTTCTTCCTCCTCCTCCTCCTGCTCTTCTTCTTCCCCCTCTTCCTTGACATCACCACTCAACAATCCCACCTCACGCGCGACCTGCTCGAACTCAGTCCTGCCGGCCCTGACAACATCCATCCACCTCTGAGCCGCCTCACCCACACGCGCAATCTCGTTTCGACTAAGTGAGTTACTACGGGCATGCATTGCTGAATTTTGTAAGGACAACATGTTGTCGCTGAATTGCTTCTCGGTCTGATCCATAAAAACCACCAAAGGATCTGGTGAAGCAGCAGATTGCTCGGTATGTGGAGTACCCGCCATAGAGGATGCGTGTCGTGTAGAACTGCGTTCCCGCTTCTCCCTAGCCCATAATAGCTTTTCCTGCAAGTCTTCTACCTCCGCAATCTCCCAACATGTTCCCTTTTGCTGCGGATCACGAACAAGAACAGGATATAAGAGACTGTCCACATCAGCATCTTCTAGCTCTGCAAGGGTCCATATACGTTCAGACTTAGTCGGAGACTGTGATGGCGCAGTGCTTGTACTATTGCGATTCTTTGCGGCACTGCTCCTGGTATTGAGTTCGTAGGGCTCGGATGCGAATCTTCTTGCGTAGAATTCTGTCTTCTCATGTTCTTCAAGCCCAGGCGGTGTAGTTTCTCGCTGCGGTGCACTTGGCTTACGTAATTTGCTTGGTGGAGCTGAAGCATCAGACTCCTCGTCACTGCGCGGATGCTTATTTGTTGCATTGCCCGGGAGCTGTTTATGGGTGCACTTCAGATGCTTCTTATTGCACTCATTGCAGGCTTGCGGCTTAGGTCCTGGAGCGCTTGAGCTTCGCTCCACCTGGTCAAGGTTAATATCAAGTACGAGGTAAGACAGGATGAGCCTTACAGATTTGTATACAGGTTCAGCCTTGACAATGGCTTTGCGCCTTGCGACAGAAGGATTCTTCCTAGACCTAACAAGTGGTGCTTCATCATCTTCGTCATCTTCGGATTCGACTTCTTTATGGTCACGCTGGACCTCGTTAGCGTCCGCAGACACAAATACAGTGGGATTTTCTCGTGGTCTCACAGTAATATGGGACAAGATAGACGTGGTAGACTCCTGAGATGCCTTCGATTCCTCGGAAAGGTTGGAAATAGTCCGCTTTTGCGTGGCCGGGATGTGGGTGCTAGTCTTTCGTGCAGCAACATGCTGAGGTGGTGCCATCTGAGGAACACTGCGGCGTGAAGCTACGGAGCGGGAAAGGTCGATTTCGGGGAAGTCATAAGCATCAGCACCCTTCATATTCGGTTGTCTTGACAGTGCGGGAGGCTGTGTGCGGATTGTGCTCGGGCCGTCTTTGGGAAGAGAATCTATCAATCTGTCTGCGAGCCTAGCTTTGCCAGGCATGGCGACGGGTTTCGAATTCTTTGACGTGGACTGCGTACTAATATCATTGGCGCCGAAATTACTGCTTTTCTTAACCTGTTGAGTAGCCTCGAGCTTCGAGCTCCCAGACCTCAACGCGCCGGATTGAGGGGTTGCAGAAGGGTAGATTTCATCATCGCTGATGAGCTTGAAGATGAATCTGTCTCTAGGGACGGGCAGACTAGATCCCACATCTGTTCACGAGTTAGCCTAATCCTATTTCCAATGTCAATATCTGAAGCGCAGTCATTGCAGCTGGAGTATCTCGTTTCAGGATAGCATATCGAAAATACCAGGCGTCACTGACTGCGATAGTCTTGGAAGGTTATTACACTTATCGCGGAGAAAGAACACGCCCAGTCTATTTTCGAGAGTTGAAGATCGGCGGGATTCACTGTGGCACCGGGTTACTTACTAGAAAGAGCATTCGAAGGTTTCCTTCCGTCCTTCGACTGAGCAGGGAAGCTGGACGTTCCCTTATGAGCGGCATTTGCTACTTCTACACTATTAGCTGCGATAATACTAACACGGAGGAGAGATTGGCATACCCTGGACATCAGAACCTGCGGCAACTTCCGGGAGTCTACGTCCTGTAGGAGTTTGAATAGGCGTCTTGGCTTTAGTAATGTTCGCGGGCGCGGTGGTGGTAGCACTGTATGTTTTGTGAGTAATACTAGTAGAACGGGATGGATCTTCCAAGGATTTCCATGACCTCGGAGTCGTTGCTGAAGTCGGGGTGTCAGGTTGGCGATTGAGAGTAGAGTCGGCATTGGAGACACGGGCATTCGAGCGACCCATCACAGCAGATGCTCGAGTCTTTTTACCGCGACGTGCCATCATGGGAGCTTGATGATGGCCAATTGCCGGAGACACGTTCGAAGCATCAGTGTCAAAGAACTCCATTGGTGATGCTCTGGTGGAGTGAGAAGGAGCAGAAGTCGTGGTGGGAGTAGACAAAGAAGAAACGAGCGAGGTCGAACGCGTTGGAGGAGTTCCCGCGCCCATAAATGCGGTTGGTGCAATGTTGTCTTTGTTGACATTGGTGTTAATCGGGGCTTTGGAGACATTGGAATTGGAGGCAGCAGCGCGGTGCGTCGAGGGCTCTTCACTCTTCTTCTTCTTGGGTGCCGTACTCCACACACGCCGGCTGTTGGGATCACCGGGTGGACCGAACGACTGATTAGCCATCACGTAGATCTATCAAGTAGAAACTACTCGTGTTAAGGTGCCCTAGTAGTGTTGTAGTATGGACAAGAGGATAGGGAACAAATGTGTGGAAAGTAAATACAATGGACGGTGGAAGTGGAGGCAACAAAAAGAAGAAAAGGTTGAAGAGAAGAAAACAAAAGGAAAGGAAGAACGCGTGAATGCAGTTGCGAGGGAGACGTGAAGTGGCGAAGGAAAATAAAAATACGATGAGGTAGTATAAACAAGAAAATCCCAGAGTAAGAGTACTGGATGGGGAAGGAGCGACTGGAGAAGGGTGGGAATTGACGGCCGCTGGGAACGGGATTGTGAACAAAAAGACGGGACGAAATAGGGATATTCGAATAATGAAAACCATTGCAAGTTCTACTTCTACACTCTCTGAACATACCACTTGTAGATGTAGTTCCTCGGCAACATACCTCTATGATAGCGTATCAAAATGCATCCACCCGTACAACCACAGCACTGTTTTCGGCCGATTCGAACATCAATAT